TTGTGTGAATGAAGGATATTGAATTGATTATTTGATTGAATTGATTGTGTGAATGAAGGAAGATTCGAGAAAGAAGATGTTGGAGGAAGAAGATGATGCAAAATTGTAATTTGGTGGGCCCCACTTTTGTTTATGCGTTGGGTATGACCATGTCATCATTTATCCAGGTGTACAACTGACGTGGCTTAAATTTTTGATATATCTGTGAGTTAACGGACGATTTTTAACGGAAGGACCAAATCGGGGTAAAAATGGTAAACAGTAGGGACCAAATCAAGGATTCTTTTAGTTCAGGGATGAAATCGGGGGTCCGTACAATAGTTCAGGGACCAAAAAGGGGTTTTAACCTTTTTATTTTAAACAGCAACATTATTTAGTTGTTACAATATTTGCTTCTTGTCGTGGATTACCTGTCGAGGGAAGTCTCCATCTTCCAATTGTGAATTTATGAGAACTTTGATTCCTCGCTGAATTGGGTAGGATCTACTTCAGCCAATAGGCACATGATTCAGTGCCATAAAACCAAGAATGAGAAACACAGTTTTTTCCAATTTTCATGTGTTTTGATAATATCTTGAGACCTTCGTAAATGTAAAAGATATAACACTCAAAACATTTGGCACTTGGATAGAACAGGAGATTTTATACTAACCTGTCCAGCACTGAGGAGAGCTAATAAAGCCCATGTCGTTTGCACCAAGTTTGTACGGTCACCTTCTAGATACACCTATTTCAATTCAACTTATGGAGATTAAAATGACTCTGACCAAAACAGTTATAGTATCCAAGGTGAATGCACTATGCATAAAAGCATACATATAGCAAATAGTCATAGATGTCCCAATAGCATCTGAGAAGTGAACCATAATTTGATTGAAAAAGAAGAGACAGAAAATAAATCAAAGGTAGTGCAATAGTTAAAATTTCCTCAAAAAGGAAAGGATATATACATGCTGCAAACTTGGTACTTCCTTCACCTCTGATCTGCAGTAGCCTTTGCCACCCTGGAGGGGGCTGAGCAATATTGGGCTTGTCAATTGCCCAGAGCTTGCTCCCATCTTGAGATATATCCGTTGGAACGGTTGGATCCTCACACAAAATATCAGGCTGCCACTCATGAGCCATTTCCCATTTCACAAACAAAAGGATTTTCCAGAATGTGTTCACGTATTTCTTCATATTTTTCTTTTATCGGTATGAGTCTCCATTTAAAACAATTGGCATACTGGACGGTGAAAGCTCCAACAGATGGCAGAAATCTAGAAGATGAAAATCTTGGATGTGCTGGAGCCTGGGGCCTGATAGGTTCAGGATTGAAGGGTTCAATTGTACCAGCACCGTTGGATGCAGGATCATAAAGCACTAATTGTTTGGAAGCATTCCCATCACAGTGGCCATCTTCGTCCTGTATTACTTGAGAATCACCCTCAGAAGATGAGGATGACAAAGCAGAAGAAGAAGAAGAAGAAGAAACGTCAATAGGCCCTTGTAAAGTGCTATCCAATCAATTCCTGAAAACAGAACTGGGTAAGTCCTTCGCTTCCCTTTTCACCATAATGAAATCTTTTGCTGGAGGTGACTGCATCCCAATGTCTACGCTGCCTGAAGCAGGAACAAAGTACACTTCTCAGTAAGTCATCATTAAAAATATCATGAAACTATTCAGCTATTAAAATGTAAAGTATTAAACAGGAAAAAAAATCTTCACCAAATCAACTTGCCGAAGTAGTAAAAGGCAGGCATTTACGTAAAAATAGTGCATTGAAGAGAAGAGATCCTTTAAGACCTTCTAAGATTTTGCGTCCAAAGCACTTGCATGACTTACAAAAAAACAGGATTTGGCCAAGAAAATGAGCATCTAATTTGCTCAAAAACAAAATCTTTGAAGCAAAAAATGATCCTCAACCTGAGCTACGCTATGTAATGTAACAAAATCTTAATACTGTAAATTTTTTCATAATTTCTCTCAACACTTCATTGTAAAAAGAAAAAGAAAAAGAATTCATATTCCACATCTTACTCTGCTCTATATTCCTATCTAATTCTATTCAGTTTTGTTATAAACCAAACACTAAAAATTCTCGAAAAAAGTTTTCCACAGTCTATCTGATCTAATCAAAATGGAACAAATAAATACCAAAATGCTTCAAATCAAAAGAGAAAGATTAGCAGCTGAGTTGAGGCATCACTTGGCATTTACATAAACAACCGAACATACAAAGCAAACAGCTAAATAAAATAAAATGCTTGGCATTTTCTCGGTGTTTCTTACAATCCAAACATGTTTCCCTCTGTGAAATATGAAATAAAACAAGTATCTAAATAAGGAAAAAGGAAAGAGCAAAGGCGTACCTGAAACTCAATCTGGAAAGAGAAGCGGACGTAGAAGAAGGATCTGAATAGGGGACTGGATGGGAATCAGAATCGTTGGTGACGAGAGTCCGGCGAGGAATCGACGGACGGGATAGCCCGGGTAAGAAATTCAGTTCATTTCGTCATGGATTGGTTCATTCTTCATCAGGCAGGAAATCGTAATTTGTGGAGATAGTTTTATTTTTACAATGATCAGGTGGATATACCATTTTTTTAAAACATATTTACAAAACAGTAATATTATAAGAGAATAGTATTTATTGGTTTCCTTTTTAAAAATTAAAAGGAATATTATTTTAAAATTATATTATTTTAATAAATATTTATTAAAAAAATTAAAATATCTTATTTATAAGTATGAATCATGGTGTTTTTTTGTCATTTTTCTTTTTAATTTTTTAGAAGTAAAATAGATAAGCATTAATCCCATATTATAATTATAATATAACTTTAAATTGTAAATTTATAATTATATATAATATAATATATATAATATTATAAATAAATTTTAAAATAAAAAAATTATATAATGAACATATTTTGTAAATTTATAATAATAAGTTCTGACTATAATATTTTTGTTGACAAAACTTTGATAATCTCTAGATAGTTATGAATCACACCAAGGTAGTAACTCTACCTCTAGCATATTTTTGCAAGAAATAGAGAGTGAGAAATTGCCTCCTTTCCAAAAAAAATTGGTCTTGGATTTTTTTCCTTTTTACTATAGTTTCATATCTCTCTTCCAGTATTGAATCTTTAATTTAATAATTTCTCTTGATTTTACCCATTTTGTGCAAATAAAGCTCAAATTTATGCTGTCATTTTCTACATTTAACGTTCTTGCAATCAACCAAAATAGGAGAACCTCTAAATGCAAATAAGTTCCACAAGCGAAATTCACATAGAAACACACAAGACTTGAACACTGGAAGAGGTTTTTTGTTTTTATTTATTTATTTATTTTAATGCAACAATTTGCGAGAATGGAGGTTTGCATAAAAGGTGACCTGCTGAATCAGAGACAAATTGAAATTAGAGCATGATAAACAACATATACGAGCACAAACCCAAACCCCAAATAGAAAAGAATATAACAATAAAGAATTTTATTTTTGAATCTTTCCCTTTTATCATATCTCACATAGAGAAAGCATAAAAATAACGTTAAAATATCAATTTAATTCCTTAACTTTTAGTTTTATATTAAAATTGTTCTTCAATTTCAAAAAATATTAAAATTATCTCATAATTTTAATTTTTGATATCAAAATAATTCTTAAATTTTAAAGATGATACCAATTTAGTCTTTAAACTTTGAAAGCAAGTATCAATTTCGCCCTTAAACTTTGATTACAAATATCATTTTTTTTAACTTTAATTGTATATAAATTTGATATGTAAATAAAAATATATCATGATAACAAAATATAATTATTTAATTTTACACATTATTAATATTTTAAAAAATTGATTTTATAACAAAATAATGAATTACATAACACTTTTGTTATTCAAGAGACTTTTTGATATTAAAAATTAAAATTTAAGGATAATTTTAATATTTTTTTAAGTTATGGTGCAATTTGGTACAAATCTGAAAGTTAAGAGACCAAATTGGTATTTTAACCTAAAAACAATCAGGAGCATAAGCATCTATAGGAGAGTATTTATTAACAGCTAAGTTGAAAGGTTGACACATCTCATGTCCATTAAATCCATAAACTTGCATTCATCCTAGTGCATAAAATCAAAAACAAAAATCATTATATTCATTTTCTATTTGCAAGAAAGAGAAAAGAAAAGAAAAGAAAGAAAGAAAGAAAAAAAAAAAAGTGACTCCTCTCGGGAAGACCCAGATGCTAACTTTCAGCATCAGATTTCCATCAGCATTGCTACAATTATAATCTAAAAGAACAGAAACAAATAGGGGAATCAAGATCCATACTGACCAAGTTTCAACAATATAAGAACTTATCAAACAAAATTCCCCCACTTGCCCCCCTTCTGCAGTTCCACATCTTATACAATTATCAGATTTCAAATCTTATGAAAGCACAGCATTACATGGGAGTTGATTCTATGAGTTGCGGCAACCAACATCAATTCTTCTGTGAAACAATTGACACAGTCATGGAAAAAGCTAGAACACAAGGATCAAAATAACTAAAAGCATAAAGCCAGTTTTTCTCATTAGTAAAAGCATGCAAGTTTGGAATTCCAGAAAAGCATAACAGCCTACGGCATATAAGACCGAAACTAAAACTAAGCTTCACTTGTGTCCACACAAGTTCTCACATCATACAAAATCAGTACGAAATATAGTTACAATTCACAAACACCATATTAGAAACAGAGGCCAGTCTCCCTTTACAATCATATGTAAACAATTTAAGACAGAGTCACCATATAAACCAAAATCCCCAATACAGAGCCCAAAAGGACACTAGAACAAGCAGAAACACATTGTATCAATTTCACTAGTAAAAATCATGCAAAACAAGAGCAGAGCTTATGACATGCAGAACATAAAAGAGTAAAAATACCAATATAATTTTTTTTTTCTCTTTCAATTCCCCTTAGCTTTCTACAGAACCAAACAAGGAAAGAAGAATCAAGAAAGCAACACATAAATCACACATCCTGACATAAATCAAACAAAACCTTATGTGCAGTTATTGAATCAAATAAATTCAAAACCACTACTTGGAATAAATACGATTCAAAATTATATTATAAAAACTAATTAACGATCCATACACAGATAAGAAAAATATAACAGAAAATTTGAAAACGCGATCGACTAGACAGGGCTGAGGAGCTGATAAAACTGTGGCTTGGGCTCCGAGTTCATGCCAACGATGATGATGAGAGGAATGAAGCCATAATGGGTAATCACTTTAGCCTTTTTCATAGCCCAGGTGCTCCATTCCTTGAGGCACTGAGTGGTGGACTTGTCCTCTGCTCCTTTTGATCCCTTCCCTGATTTGCCTTTGCTCTTGAGCGAAACCCTAGATGCCATGGCTGAATCGTTGCTGATTTTTCTCCCCTAGATCTCTTCTTTGGCGCTTCCGGTCGAGTCTGGAGCTAAACTAAAACGCTAATCATGGTGATTAATTATAGTGAAGGACTTGGGAATTGGGAGGATTTCCATTTGGGCTATATAATATGAGTAAGCCCATTTGTATTTCATCACGGCAGAATGAGTGGCCCAACTTAAAGAACATTTCTTTAAAGACCAGCCCCTTCTAATTCCATGTGGCCTTTTTTTTTTTTTTGAAGAAAAGATATATGTATATATATAGTAAGAATATAATGTTTGTCATTTTTTTAATTTTTAATTTTTTATATTTTTTTATAAGTTTTTATTTTTTAAAATTTTATTTAAAAAATTCTAATTCCAAGATGTTACATTAATATTAATTTTGCTTTAATTTAGTTAAAAACGATTTATCTATGTTGAAATTAAAAAATTTTCTTCTCATTAATCTTCCAAAAAATATGTAATTACATAGGTTACTGCAATTTGCTATGCTATAAGATTTCTTTGCACAATTAGCATTAATTGACCGTCACTCTTAGCCATATATTGGTTCAAGATTGGGTTCTGTCAACTGGGGGCACCAGAACGTTATTTTTTAAAATAAATTAAATTTAACGACATATTAACCCCTTAATTATAGTAAATAAAACATATTAAAATTTATTTTTTTATAACAATTTAAGTAACACACATATTCGTCCAACCCTTAGTGACCTAATGGCCACTCTCTTAAATGGGTGTGGTGGACATAATGACCTGAATTCAAATCTTAGATCCTACTTTCCTTCCCCTACAAATTTTTCCCTATTCAAAAAAAAGAAAAAGTAACACACACATTCACTCAACTATAGTAAATAAAACCCCAAACATATTGGTCAGCTCTTGTAGGAAGAGCAAAAACACTTATATAGGTTCACCACAAAATGATTAGATTATTTGTCAACTGTAGGATTTCTATTCAGGTTAAATTCAGGTTAAAAATGGAGAAACCTGAATTTGTAACAGTAAAGCCTCCATCGAGAATCATATTTTGCCCGCTTACATACTTGGACTCATCACTTGCCAAGAAAAGAGCCATCGCTACCACATCCTCTGGCTCCAGAATCTCTCCTTTAAGATTAGCAACTCCAGGCTTCTTGAGCATATTCCTTGTCACCTCATCATAGACCACCATATATGGTGACACGCAGTTCACCCGAATGCCATATTGTCCCAACTCCACTGCAGCGTTCCTCGTCAACCCAAGCACACCATGCTTTGAACTTGTGTAAGCGTACGAGGCAGCTCCGCCAAATGTGGAAGCGATGCTGGCGGTGTTGATTATGCTGCCTCGACCAGCAGGAATCATCACCCGCGCTGCATGCTTGGTCCCCAAAAAAGCTCCCACGAGGTTCACATTAAGAACCTATTAGAAATCTATATTTTATCAGCATAAATACCCAAGAAATGTTTTCTTTTTTAACCAAAATACCCAAAAAATTACTTAATTTTCTCATAAAAAAGAGTATTATATGATGCAAAAGATTAGGCAGCTGGCAAAACTTCCTACCTTCATCTCTCAAATAGGGCAGCTTGATAAATTCACTCTTTAAAAAATATATATATTTTTTAAAATTATTAATCAAAATAAATTATTTATTATTTAATATATAATATCATCACGTATTAGTGTTTTACAAACACGCTTGGGTAACAATTAAATTTCTAACAAATGTTATATATTAAATAATAAATAAATTATTTTAATTAATAATTCATAAAGATAATTTATTTCTATATTTAAAAAAAAATCCATTTTTACCTTTCGATTTGGAGAGCAATTTTTAAAATCATGTTTAATAAGTCTCGCGATAATTTTCCAATTTCTCAACAAAGTGAGATAGCGAGAGACAATCCAAAATAATAAAAAAAGGGTGCTAATACTTCAGACAATTAAAAATAGAGGACCTGTTGGAATTCAGAGACACTACTATCTTGAATGCCAGGTCTGAAAATGGGTCCAATGATACCGGCATTGTTGAACATAATATCGAGCTTTCCGAAGTGGGAGATGGCGGTGTCCACGGCATTTTCGACATCTTCTTCCTTTGCGACATCACAATGAACGAAGAAAGCAGATTCAGGCCCCAATTCATTGCAGACAGATTTGGCTAAATCATCTTGGATGTCGGCGATCAGCACTTTAGCTCCATGTTTGCAAAAGATTCTAGCAGCGCACGCACCCATGCCTCTAGCACCTCCGGTAATGATGGCAACCTTCCCTTCTAGCCTGAAAAATTAGACTCAATGTTAAGTAGACCTCTATATATATTTTTTTCTTTTTTCCAATTTGTCACAAATTTTTTGTAAAATTTACATACCTTCTTACATCCGTTGAGAGTAAGCTGGAGGAAGTTGCCATGGTCAAAATATGTGAAGTAGATCTAATTAATTGCTTGCTCCTACTGAAGAGTGCTCTCTGCTTATATAATCATTTCGAGATGAAGTCAACAATTCTCATTTTTAACATTTTAATAATAAAATATAAGATTTTTGACTTTCATGGGTAATGACAGATTATACGTGAGATCTACAAAACATATTTTAAGTTGTATAAAGAAGCAGATCATGTTTATTATTTTTTTAATATATTAAATTATAAATTATATAATAAAAAGTAGTATATCTTTTTCAAAACTTTTTATTTATTTATTTTAATATTTAAAATTTTAATCACTAAGATATTCTAGAAGACACTATTTATCTTCTGGATCATGTGTTAGCATGTTTATTTTTTAGATATTGTGTAACTAACGTTTGTTTTTTAGATCATGTGTAAGCAATATTTATTGAAGAAATGAGATAAGGGATGAGGCAAGAGATGTGGGGTTGATCAATAAGCCTCATATTGTCCGCCAGACTTTTGAAAATGGGGACTATTTGACTATCTTTTTCTATTTTTTTGCTTCTTATGTACACAAAGTGATGCAAGTGCTAATAAATTAAAATATCTTATTAGAACTTGATTTTCAGTCTTAATGATTCACTTCAAACCTTTTAGGTGTTTGGGTTTATTAATTAGGTTTAGAACCTCACTAAAACTTTAAAATTCTCATTTCTTGTTTTTTCCAAAATTGTGTACTGTTCAAAAAAAAAAATATCTTGCCAGATTCTTGTCTGGGGTAGATTAGGAATTATCATGAGGATTTTGATTTTGATTTTCTTTTGACAATCTAGAAAATGAGTTACTAATATTATTTTTTATAAAAAATAATTATTACATATTTAATTTAACAAATTTACTCATATTTTCTTATTTAGCCATTAAAAATACATATAAATATAATCTGATTTAATCAATTTTTATATTTTATATGTATAATTGTATTTTTAAATTTATTTATTTTTAATTTTAAATAAAAA